GGGGATCAATCGTTATCTGAGCCATCGAAAAGCAATAACAAAATTTAACATTGCTGAATCTCAGAATTCACACTTACAAAAGTTTCAGGCTTCTCCGTGTAGTGCAGAAGTTCATTAGTAATGGGGTCAGCTACTAGTTCCCCGAACTGGTTTGCTGACTCGGGGGATACCTGCATACAAAGAGTAATATGGAAGTCAAACCTTAATCCGTAGAGGAAATGATGATTGACTTGAAGTGAGCTTCGGGATAAAAATATAGCTACCAACCTTGATAACCAAAATTGTACCCATACCTCCATATCTTCTGTGAGCCTCTGCAAAATGAAGGCATCTACCAGAAAGTTAATCTTATGAAAGTATCAGAAAAGTTACGAGCGAGATAGATCATTGAATCCCAGGTTATTAGTTGGGAGAAATGTACTGTACGAGACAATAATAGAGAAGGAAAAATTTTTAAAAAAAAGCTAAAATCGCGAAATCACGATTATTATCCTATTGAGTCCAGTTCAGTATTGTATCAAACATGGCCTATTTGTTTAAGCAAGGTAATGTGGGAAACAAAGAGACAATTACCTAACATCTCAGGCAGTGGAAAACTGCAACAAACATCACAATTCAGCAAAACAATGTGTGACTGCCAGGTAAAACATAGAAGCGGGTTAAAGAGAATGACAAAAAAAGTTAAAGAATGAGTCTTCGTTTTACATTTTTTATTCAATACAATTATGGTTTGTTTGTTCGGTTTCTTAACAAAACAATGATAATGTGAGAATCGTAAAAAATATAGAAACCGGATTGTCCTCCATGATCAAATCCCTGAAGCTATACAGTCCACCAGCTGATCCGTGTGGCTTTTCCTCTCTCAAGTATCTAAAACATGAAAGATCAGCAAGTGCCAATATTCCACAGGTTTAAGTACGAGCTTTGCGAAGAGAAAAAATGTCCAAATGCACCAAAATTACCTGACAGGAACTCTAAGCTCGTTCGAAATTGAAGAGACGTATAGTGCAAATTCACGCTCCTCATAGAAACCAACAAGGTATATCTGTGCTAGATTTGGGATCTGATAAGAAAAACACAAGGAAGACAAGTTAATCAGATGTACAAAATCCCTTAAATTGAACAAATCTCCTGCATTATTTTTTGAACTCAAAATTTCTTCATTGTAAGAAGTGCAACTTTAATACCATCTGATTTGAACTTATACAATAATACTCTAAACCTTGTTCTAAATAAATTTGAGGTCGGCTATAAAATATATACATGCCAGTGAACGAAAAGTATTCGAATTCTTTGCTATTGATATAAATCCAATGAAATTTCATACCCTTTTACAAGCAGAGATTGGATGATGAACCATGGGCTGCCCTGCTAATGGAAAAAGTGGCTTTGGAATATTCAATGACAATGGCCTAAATCTAGTACCTGCACCTCAAAAATCTCCGTTTAACCAAAAAGTCTTAATTTTTTCCTACAGAAATAGTAATATTAAGAAAAGGGCAATCTTATTCAAATCCAAAAATCCAAACATTTAATTAAAACTAAAATATTTCCAATAATTGCAATCAGTTTAATAAAAGGACTCTATATTCCCTCTAAAAGTAATCAAATTCTAATCAATACACAACATTCATACTTAGTAAAATTAATTATTCAAAGATGAAAGAAAAAATCATGATAAAAACAAAAATCATACCTTTTGTGGGTCCACCTACCATGATAACAGCAACAACTCTTTCTTCTGAACTCCCCATTTTCTCCACCAAAATAAAGCAATACCCAGATCTCAAAATCCTCTGTGCAGCTTTCTAATAATTGAACACAGCTCCAAATTCTACAGTAACTGCGTCTCCTTCAACAGCATAAATAAACACGGCATGCACATGCACGGTATATATATTATGCTTCTGTGTCAGCGAGTGTAATATTATAAAGATAGAGATGGATAGATTATAGATAGGTACAGAAAGAGAGAGAGAGAGTCATTGTGAAGTGGTTCCTGAGAATAAAAATAGAAGAGATCCAAATTGAATAGCTGTCGGTGGGGGTTAGTGAACATGAAGTCCAAAGAGAGTTCAATCAATGTTTGATTTTTATTTTTATTTTTTATTTTTAAAATAACTCGATATCCAAGTTTCGCCTAACTAATCCTGAAAAGTGGCGGCTTTCCCCCTGGTTCTCCACCCAGGTAAATTCGGATACGGATACAGCTTATACACACTTGGACCAAATATTCGGAATGCGATTCTCTTCCCTGTAGACATTTCTTTACGATGTGCAGACAAGACCCCTAGAGGGGTGACAAAGCGCACCATAACTTTGTTTCCACAGCACAACTGTCTTCCAATATAAATGTTGCTTTCTAGTTGCCGCGGGGATTCGAACCTTCAATACTCCGTGTGAACCTTTACTGCTTTACCACTACGTCATGCCCGTGGGGACGAGTTCAATCAATGTTTTTTTCCCCCATGGGAAGTCTATCCAGTAAATTACAGTCAACTTATTCATAAGTCATTTTTTTAAATATAATATGTTTTTCCTTTTCATAAAAGAAATTAAAATTTTGGTGATAATATAGGTTTGTGTTTAATCTAGGCATTCGGAGGGATAACTCTACAAGACAATTTATATACTTATTGTTTTCATTTGAAGATAAATAAAATTGTGAGTAAATAATTCGAACATAATGTCTAGAAAAATTGATATGACAAGATAATTAACATAAAAGTAATATTACTATAGGGGAGCTGTCAACAATCAAATGTTATCCATTGAATGCATTTGATCGCTCGAGTGAGTTGTTGTTGTTGTCATCATTAAGCAAATGTTGTACGTCAACTAAGGGTAAAGCATAGAGCTTTAGATGATTTTATAAATTTGATCTACTTTCGTTGCAAAGGGTAACCTAATTTTTCTCAAACATTTTAATGATTTGGAGATATTTGGATGACATTTTATGGGGTTGGGAAAAGGTCAAAGTGTTAATTCTTATTATTTTTCATATTAAACTGGGTATACTAATTTGAAGAGGTGAATCAGTCATCATGCAGGAGTTTTCAATCAATTTTTAGGGGTGAGCATTTTAATCGAGAATAGAAGGAATTTCAAACGATTTGATTCAAGATTCCGGTACCCACATTTCTTTTCAAGAACCGAGAACCAACTGAATCCCGAATGATCCTTGGTTCTTGAGCAGAATCGTGGATACCCTATGAAATTGAATTTTTTTATTTTTTTAACTTCTTTTATTTTTAGAATGTATTCACCCTGATCCAATTACCCAATGGGGTGGAAAGGAAAATATGAAATAAAAAAAAAAAAGTCTACAATGATAATTATTTTGCTATTTTCAAATGAATGAATTTATCTTATTTTAGCATTCGTAGTATTTATTGTTGGTTTCTAGTTTTCGATTTTTTATGCTAGATATCGAATGCTATTTGGTGCCATACTTGCAGTTTATTAAGAAAATGATGAAATATATATTTCGTGATATTTTTTTTTCCCCGCTATTACGTGTGACCCAAATGGTTCCATTTATAAAATATTGTCCGAAGTGTAATGGGTGGTTCCGAATTAGAATGCTCGGATCAACGCATCCATTTAGGTGGGAAATTAGCAAATTGATGTTAATCAAAACCATAGTTCATCTAGTGATCAATGTCAAATTGAGGGGTGCACCAATTGAGGTTTTCCCCCACCTACTTAATGTCTACCCTGCAGCGATGATAGGGAAATTTAAGTTGCTTCCAACTTTTTTTTGTAGCTAAATTTTAAATCTTTCAGTTTGCAACAATTAAATTACTCCTCCCGCAACGCCCGTCAGGCCATGAGCGCAGTGCGATGAACATCCCAAAAAAAGTGGCCTAGGCTGGGGCAATGTAGTAGAATGCAAGTAACAATCCTAATCTTATGTGTCGGCAAATATAACTATAAAAAAATCATCAAAATTTATTGAAGCCTTGAAACATGAGCTTTTGTCATTTCTTGAATAAATCCATGGTTCCACTCTAATGTTTATATATCAGAAATTTTAGTAATCCAAAACATTAGTAAACTGAACAAAATCCCAAATAAAAAACTATGGATTGGAAATTAATTGTTGGTCCATTAGTGGTAGCTTTGAATTGAAATTGTTGCTTCGGCTCCACCTTGTATATATACAAAAATGCAATCTGAACCAGGATTCAATACGTTGAGCCATTGAGGAAGTTTATAAAGGTTGTTCTGTTGAGTTTTAGATAGACCCCGTACAGATCCTGTTAGATTTTCCATGTAAAATTTCAACTATGTGATTGGCTTTTGGGACTTGTTCTTGATGATCACTTGGTGCCTGTAATAGGTTTCTTTGCGAACAGTCCATGTATTTGTTATTGAGTGGAGGAATAATATTCCATGATTATTATACTAGTTTCTTGATTCCTAGTCATATTAAGTCAGTGTATAGGAGCTGACATGTATTTTGGAGATGAACCTGCATTTGAAGTACTTATACATGAGACGCATTCTAGATACTCTACGACTGAGAAATATAGTCGAATAAGGTGTAACTAACCTTGTGGTGGTTTGTGGTAAGGTTTTGGCAATCCTTGATGATAACCTGCAAAACTAGACCCATCAAGTGTTTGTTATAAAATACTGAAAAATTGAATATGTAAACTGTTGGAAAAATAATTAGTTGCAGCGGTGATCAGAACAATATAATGCAGAAATATAAAACTTATCGATCGAGTCTCGTGACAGCACGATGTCCTAAAGTGAAATTGCCCGTCAATAATTGCTGTGACCTCCGTGGACAATCACTCCCAGGATACAACGATCGTAAACCACTTATGCAGCAATCACGAATGGTTTTTCTAGAACTCTCAATTGTACTCCAGAATATGTATAAAAACCCGAATATAAGAAATTCACAATATGAAAAGAGTGATTGATTCTATTTTATTTTTGTGTGTCTTTTCCCAAAGCAAGATATGGGTTTATATAGGCAAGATGGTAGTAACAGTCTTCACCATGTTAATGCAGAATTTTAATGACTGAGTAGTGAGTGTTTTAATGGCAGTTAGTGGGTTGTTACAAAAACAAACAGTCATAAAATACTGGCTAGTTTTACCAATTAAATAACCAAAAAAAAAAAATATTTATTTTAGTCAAGGAAGCCCAAAAGCCCAAGGCCCCAATCAAGACATTTTAATATTTGCGTGGGGAGTGATTCGAACCCCTGACGTCCCACACAAATGTCACATTTCCCACCACTTTGGCACTTTATCTAATTTGATTATTTCTTTCACATTTTATATTTATACCATAAATATATAACAATATATATATACATAAAATTACCCCTTTTATTTCTTTTCAAAAATGATTAAAAAAAAGAAAAAAAAGGAAGATAAATAACTCATACCCAAATCTGGATATATGTTCACTGTATAGGGGGCGAAAAGATAATAATAATAATAAACCCTTGACCTCAGCTGTCTCAGCGTCGCAATATGGGGAATGAACTTCGAACTTACAAGATGATTGAATGTGTTTTACCTGAATTTCCCGAAACATCCTGAAATTTGCAGAATAGCCCTACAAGAGGAGCAGTACCCGATGTCGTTGCCTCAGTATGTTCATAATTTGATCGATCATCAAAGAACTCGTCTTTATCATTGGGACCACCCAACAAGGCTCCGTATAGAATATTAGGATTTGGTTCAATCCGTTAGTACCAACTCTCAAATCCTTCCACACACCCAACTACAGAATGAAGAACTGATTTGGAGGCAATGGAGTAACCTCTGTGGTGTTCATGAATGGGGTAGTTTTGCCCATATCCCACGAAGTAGCTTAATGATTTAGGGTTTTTGCCTAGAATGTAATCAGCCTGCGAAACCAATTTCATTAGGGTTTTCTCCTCAAGGCAGACTATAGGATAAGAGACAGTTATAAAAAAGAAAACAATCACTCGTTTAAGATTTGTCTCTTAAGAGTACAAATTTGAACAGTGTTAAGAAAGAAAATTGAATATGTTTTAATCGGGTAATTAGCACAAGACGTCCATACATTTCATTTTTTAGCATTTTCATCCCTACCTTTCACCTTTCATTGTGCAAAAAGTTATTTTCATCAATTTTTCCAATAAAATGACGATTTTACCATCCTAAATTCACATAAACCACCTTCCGACCACAATACCCGTTGAACTCCAACATCACCAGCCTCGCCTCACTTCCCCAACATCCTCCTCCACAATATTGGTCACCAGTCTGTCCGAAATAACCACATTTATAGCCCAAAATATCAAACTGCCGTATACAACCCTTCACGGCAATCCCACTTTCGGTGCCACCCACGATCATGCATCACTATCGATGGTTATCCCTCACCTTGACGAACCTATATATGGCCTTATAGCAATCAAAACCGTCTCAAATCATTTTGTTCTAATTCTAGAACATTTGACAGTGACGACATCCATTTTGCCAAACTTTTCTCCTTCAATTCATGCATCCCACAACACTAAATCCCCAAATTGGCGTCAATCGAACCATCAACAAACCCAAAAGATAATGGGTATGAATCGAACTGAACAAATTATCTCCTCAACCTTTTCAATTTTTGGTCCAAGATTCTCTATGGGCGTGATGCACAGCAAAAGCTGTCTGACCAAAATATGGGTCCTAAGTACTCCAATCTTTCAAATTCGTGTGTAGAAGGATGATGCGGGAGTGAGGCGAGGTTGGTGGTGGTAGAGTTCGATGGGCATGGTGACCGAAGGTAGTGCTATGTGGATCTATAGGTGGTAGTTTGGTAGGTTGTAAAAGTGGTGGTGGTTATGGAGAATTTATGATTTCTTTGTAATTTTTTAAAAATTTAAGAACTACAGTTGCAATTGGTAATTCATCTTTTATTTTTATTTTATTTGAATAGAAGAGTAAAATTGTCTTTTTACGCATTGAAAGGTCAAAGGTATGTATGAAAATGCCAAAAATGAAAGGTATAAACGTTTTGCATAATAATATTGTAAAGTAAAAACCTTTTGTGCTAATTATC